TCGCAGCAGCAGCGGAGAGCCCGAGCCCGGGGGTGGTGCGGGCTGCTGTTTCCTTCCTCGGTTCCTCTTTCGGGGGCTGATTGGATTCCGTCTGCTCAGCTCTGAGCACCGGGCCTGCTCTGGAGGACTTCCCCGTCCTCAGGTGGCCTCGTCAGTGTGGAACTTGGCTCTTAAACGAGTGTGTGTGACAAGTCACCTGGAAAGATCGTTAAGATGCAGATCCGGCCTCTGCCTGGTAGACTGGGGCCCTGGGGTGGGGGTGTGGCCTGGGCTCCGCATTTCTGTGAAGCCCTCCCCCGACCAGAGGGTTCCCTACAGGTGACCGGGGAGCCACACCCAGAGGGATGCTGGCCGTCGGGGTCAGGAAACCTGGGCTATGGCTCGGGGTCCCCCAAGAACAGCAGTGCCGGCGGATGTGGTCTGCTCGTGGTCAAAGACAAGTGCTGATCCTGCGGCCGGCACGTGGCCGTCACTCAAGAAGCCGAAGCTTTCGGCGTTGCTGCCCTTGCTGACCAATATTTGTTGAGCCAGACGTGCTTTTCATGAACTCACCCATCTAATCCTCACGACGACCTGTGAAGTGGGGCCATTAACAGCCCCATTTTACAGATGGGGAAACTGAGGCTCAGAGCTCTGAAGACTCTTACAAGGGTCGCCCAGTGAGGGGTCCAACACTGCAGCCTTACCAGGGGCAGGAGCTGCCTGCCTTGAGTTCCGAGCACCGATTTTCTCCTCTGTCCAATGGGCCTCGTGGTGTCTTCCTTGCTGCCGCTGCAGGGCTGTGATTTAAGGGTTAAAAAGATAACAAGAAAAATGTTTCGAAAATGACTAAGCAAGGAAAAGAGCAGCGTTTTGAAAGTCAGCGAGAGTAAACACTATGGCCTCTTGGGCAGTTACTGTGTGCTAGGCACAGGCTCAGTGTTGTCTTATGTTGGACATTTTCTTTTATTGTGGGGAAAATGCACACAACACAAAATTGGTCATTTTAACCATTTTAAAGTGTACAAGTCAGTGCGTTAAAGTAAAGTACCTTCATAATGTCGCGCACCTACCACCACCCTCTAGTTACAGAACATTTTCATCACCATGAAAGCATAACCCTGCACCCATTAGCGGTCACTGCTCAGTCTCCTTCCCCGGCCGCTGAAAACGCCCTTCTGCTTTCTGTCTCTGTGCGTTTGCCTGTTCTGGATGTTTCGTATACGTGAGACCATATACTGTTTGTCCTTTTGCATCTGGCTCCTTTCACTTGGCATAATGTTTTCAAGGTGCGTCCCTGTTTGGGCGTGGAATCAGCTCTTCATTCCTTTTTCATGGCTGAGTAACATTCCATGTGAGTACCCTGTGTATTCACCCATTCGTCCATTGGTGGACCTTTGGGTGGACGCTTTACCGGCTACGTGCTGACCACATCCACGTATTTATACATAGGATTTCTTAGACTGCTTGCAGTAGACCCATGAGACAGGTACTGTTAAGATTTTACAGGGGAAGCCCTGGTGACTCAGAGAGGTGCAGTGACTTGCCCAAGGTCACACAGCAGACACAGGGAGGTGGCAGACACAGGACTCAAACTATGGTTTTCTGACCCTGAGCCCGAGCTCCCTCTGTACGCTCCTCCGCGGCTCTCAGGGCGTTGCCTTGTGCTGCAGTGATGGTGCCACCGAGCAAACCTAGAGTCCATCGGGATCCTCTGAAGATTGTTTTTGAAAAAGCAGAACCATGCTGGGGCCTTACTCCCAGACCGTTCAGGTCGGAATCTCTAGAACAGCTCTTCTCGCCCAGGGATGATCGTGCACCTGCTTCTCCAGGGGCCGTCCAGCCCTGCCTGGAGAGATTTTCATTGTCACAGCTAGGGCGTGGGGTGCGCCTGGCATCTGTGGGCGGGAGCCAGGAGTGCCGTAAACACAGCGTGGCCCCACGCCAGGGCGTCGTCCGGCCCCAGTGTCGGCAGCGTTGGAGTGGAGAAAGCTTGCTGCAGAGCTAGAGCCTGGACGTCGGCCCCTTTTGTAGTCCCCGGCCGGGCTCCGGTGTGCAGCAGGGCTGCGCTGTGCTTCTGCAGCCTGACAAAGTCCCCCGGCTCCCGTCCACTGCAGACTCGGGCTCGGCAGGTGCAGGCGGGGCCGGGGGTGCTGCCGTTCTGACAGGCTCTCCCGGGACGCCCACACCCCGGCCCGCGCTCCGAGTTCTAAGACTGCAACGCGGATAAAGGCAGCTGGGCTGGACTCTCTGCTTTGCTTTCTTGCTTTTCTATGTCCTGAAAGTTGCATTTCAACAAAAAGTTTTCCTTCAGGTGAAGAGTAAGGAGTGCAAACGGGACAAAGGTGGAATCGTGGGTTGCTTGAGACTGGGGCTTTGCAGGGAGAAGCAGGGAGGTTCTTCGGGAGACAGAGGAGTTGTGTTCCCAGCGGCAGCTGGCCCAGCCAGCCTCCAGCCTGGGCCCTGCTGGCTGCGGGCCCTTGGCTGGCTGGCCCAGTAGTGATGACTCAGGCTTTCCACCTGTGAAATGGGCGGGATGGCTCTCGCCGCCTCCCCACCCATTCCCAAGGCCAGAAGCCCCCAGAAGCTCCTCACCTTCATCACAGGCCCGTCTTAAAAGCTGGGACCTGCAGCTGCTGTTTTCGCTGCTAATAAATCTCCATTTGTGGCAGCTCAATTAGGAAGTCATCACAAAGCTCCAATATTGAAAGACGGGATTAATAACCCAGCCCATGTGGGAGAAATTAGCAGCTTCTGCGGAGAGCCCTTTTCAGCCTGTGCTGTGGCTGGCAGCCCCTGGAACGGCGCCGGCAGGCGGGTCTCTGGGCACGCAGGGCCCGGCCCCGCTGGAGGGGAGCCCCGTCGGGGGCTGCTGCACGTTGCTAGGCTGTGCTTTCAAGGTGAAGCGTCTGGAAGCCTCTGGCGGTGCTTGGCAGACTCCCGGGATGCCGCCAAATGCATCCGTGCCCCGTCCACGTGGCCCCGGCAGACGGAGGCCCAGGCAGGGCGGGAGGAAAGGGCTGGGATTGGGCCCTGGGCCTCACGCGGCTGCTGCCTGGGCTCCCGGATGAGGAGGTCCTCGGCCTGGCAGGGAAGGGCTGGCCCTCCGCCCAGCTCTCTGGGCCCCGGGAGGCACGCCAGCAGCTCGGACTGACTCACCGGGGGCGGGCCCGGCCTCTTGGCCCACGCTGCAAGGCGGGGGTGGGGAGGCGGGCCCGGCGTGGCTGCGCCTGTGGCCTGTTTCTCACCTGCCCAGCGAGGGTGGCTGGAGGGGGGAGGGTCTGCATTCTTTCCTGCATCCTACCTTCTAGAATGATCGCTGGCCTGCTAGATTGGCTTAGGGACTGGGCTCTGGAGCTAGAGGCACTTGCTCTTGAGGGCTCAAATGGAAGCTTCCCCGTATACCCTTGGCCAAGTGGTGGCCTGACTTCTCTTAGCTTTAGTCTTCTCCGCAGTCAAATGTGAATAATATTAATCCTTCCTCCCTCTGAGGGCCGCCGTGAGCATCAGAGCACAGCATTCCGGCTTAGTGGTCAGTGCCGGCCGGTCCCCTGTCTTTCATTCTTCATAGATCTAGATGAGGCTACAGAGGTAGACGAGTGGATACACTGAGACTCGTCCATCCACCCGCCCATCCACTTGTCCATCCGCCCGTCCATCCGCCCATCCATCCACCCGTCCATCCGCCCGTCCATCCACCCGTCCATCCGCCCGTCCATCCACCCATCCATCCACCCGTCTCCGCTCGCCATCCACCCGTCCAATCCCACTGTCCATCCACCCTCCATCCACTTTCCACCACCCGTCCATCACACTTGTCCATCCGCCCGTCCATCCACTGTCATCCGCCCGTCCATCACCACGTCCATCGCACTGTCCCATCCCACCCGCCATCCACCCGTCCATCCACCCGTCCATCCATTGTCCATCCACCCGTCCATCACATTGTCCATCCGCCGTCATCGCCCGTCCATCCACCCGTCCATCCACTCGTCCATCCACCCGTCCATCCACTTGTCCATCCACCCGTCCATCCACTTGTCCATCCGCCCGTCCATCCGCCCGTCCATCCACCCGCCGCCGACTCTGCCTTCTAAGCCCTGGGCTCCGTTCCCGCCAGCAGGCTCCTCGCAGTCCACAAAGCACAGCGCCGCCCTCGCGGGTCTGCACTCTAGCGGGCGGAGAGACGGGAGAGGAGAAACCAACAGGAGCTTCGGGTCACGTATCTGAAAGTGAACTGCTCTATGCAGAAAAGCACAGCAGAGTAAGGCCGGGTAAAGGCGACAGGAAGGCAGAGACGGGCAGGCCGGCGCTGCTGTCTTCACTGTGGGCGAGGGAGGGCCCGCAGGGGAGGTGACAGCTGAGCAGAAACTGCAGGCAGTGCGGCAGCGGGCAGAGGGAGGCGCCGGCTCGCGCAGGCGCTCAGGGAGGCGCGTGCTGAGTGCCTGCGAGACAGCGAGGGCGTCCTAGACGTGGGGCTGGGGCGGAGTGAGCGAGGCGGACTTCTAGGAAATACTGGTCCTGGGGGCAGATCCGGGGTGTCAGACCCTGGGAAGCACCACGGGCGAATTCCAAAGCGAAGGCACCTGAGCCCTCCAGGAACCGGTGCCACGTGTGGCTGCGGGACGCCCTCGGGTTTCGGCTGACATCAGATTCGCAGGGAGGGTGCGAAACCTCTTGGGAACACCCGGATTTGCCCGTCCTCTCATAGCACAGTAAAGCGTGCGGCTCTCGTTCTCCCGCCTTCCCTACGAGGAGGACAGGCATCCGTTTCTTGACTCATAACCCACAAAACATGGTGTAGGAAGGAAACTCCCTCAAATGACTTAGGGCACTTTTTACAAGGACGTTAGCACTTGGAGGGTCACCGGTTGTCAGGAGTGATGGTTCCACTTTTTGATGACATCAGGTGACCCGTGTGGGTTGTATCTATCTCACGACCGTGAAATCAGACCGCCTCTTTCAGGCAGACGTCTCCCCTCGTCACATGACCTCTCTGTCTCTCTCTCTCTGGCCCTCAGCCCAGCGATCCGCCCACGAGCTGCCCATGGTGGAAAGACAGGACATTGACAGCTGCCTGGTCTACGGGGGCCAGCAGATGATCCTCACGGGGCAGAACTTCACGGCCGAGTCCAAAGTCGTGTTTACCGAGAAGACCACAGGTCAGTGGGTTTGCAGTGGGTACCGAAGTGACCGTCTCTCTCTTCTCCACAGCATGGATTTGGGGGGTAGATCTCACCGTGCAGAGTTTTATACCCTGCTGTTTTTACTCACTGTGTCTTCAGAGATTATGAAGGCCACGCTGCTCACCCTTGCATGAACGTGCCATGCTGTATTTTAACTGATTTTAGGTTGTTTTGATTATCCCCCACCCTTAACTCTTTTTTTTTTTTAAATTATTGTCTTCACACAGAGAAGCAAACTTTTAAACCATTTTTCTATAGTAAAAAGGAAGGCCAAACAGTGCGATGATTAAGTGTGCAAGCTCTGGCCCTGGAAATCCTGAGTTCAAATCCTGATTTTGCTACTTGCTTGCTCTGTGATCTTAGGCAAATTACCTAACTTTTTCTGTGCCTTGATTTTTCATATATGTAATAATAATAATAACAAGAGTTGTTACCCCATAGGGTCGTCATGAAGATTAAATGGGTTGATACATGTTAGGTAATTATAACAGCACCAGGTATAGCATAAGCCAATAAACATTGGCTACTTAAATTTTTATTATAAGTAGTACTACAATTAATCTTATACTTTTAGGATTAATCTTCTTATACATGCATCTGTGTATCTTTTTTGTTTATTTAGGGCTTATTCCTGGCAGTGGAATTTTATATGGTCATTTTGAGGACTTTAAATACATATTACTAAATTCCCTTCCAGAACTCTATAAATTGAAACTTCTACCATGTCAGTAATACTTTCACCCCATTCCAGATATGGTATTTTTGAAATTATAAAAATATCATTTTGGGATTAGTATTTCTTTGTACTTTGCATTTCTTTGCTATGAGAGGTTTAATGTTTTTGGCCATGTCTGTTCTTTCTTTGGTATACTATCTGTTAATGTCTTCTTCCAGCGGGGATGTGGTAAAAAGATAACAGATCTGAAGTCAGAAAATATCAGATTAAAGCGAGTATTGATGAAACGTGTTGTCAGAAGGAAATTAGCTCAAATAACTTGGGGTACTTTTGGATGCTAGACCTATTTTTTTTCTTAACAGTCATGATTTCAGTAGGTTAATTCAATGGGGTGTTGATGGTTGCTGATTTGTTTGTTTATTTTCCTTAAGATGACCCAGAGACTGTAACAGGCAGGCTGTCCTGTTGTGGAGATTGTGCAGGGCACAAGGGTGCCTCCTTTGAGGGCTGCCATTCAAACCGGATACGTCTCGGGTCTATATGTCACCAGGACAGCCTCTGAGGGGTGGAAGCAGAGTGTCGTGGGGAAGGGGGGCTGCCTTCTGGCTCACACACAGCCTCCTTTTGGAACGGGCTGGCCCCGAGCCCATGCTTTGAGAGAGCATGCTAGGAGGCAGAATTTATTTTAAAGAGGTTTGACCGAAGGCATTGCAAAAAAGAACTGAAAAAGGACAGTCAGGAAGGCCGTGGCAGTGGGGAGTGGTTGAGAAGGCAGGCGTGGGGGATCGCGAGGGTTCGATGGGATGGGGGGTGGCGAGGGGCAAGGCGTGCACACCGTGGGGATGGCTGTACTGAGTGCCCCGCTCTGCCGCCACCTGTGCAAAGTCCCCTTCCTCTGTCCCCAGCTGGAAAGCGGGGACAGCGACAGTGCTGCCCCCAAAGGTGAGGGCTAAACGGGTTCAGGCAAGTGAGGGCTGAGCACCGAAGTGCTCAGCGAGGGCAGGGGCTGCCGCTGTCATTCTGCGCTGTGCGGAAGGAGGGGGTTGAGACTGTCTTGTTTGCGCAGGGCGCCTCCCCGGCGGGAGAGGAGGTCTGGGCGTGCGTGTGACCGGGCGGGACGGCGGGGTCCCTCTTGGAAGCGTCGGGTCTGATGTGCCCGTGGGGCCCCTCCGTATGAGCCACGGTCTCGCCTCTGTGAAAAGGCAAGCGGTCCGGAGCGTTGCCACGTGGCCTAGAGGAGGAGGCTGCTTCCAGCCTTACGCTGTTCTAGCAGCTCAGTGACGATCAGCCTCTCTGTTCCTTTCGTCACCCAGGTGACCGTTCCTGTGCTCGGGGCAGGCTGCTCGTGTTCAAAACCCAGCGCCACGACTCTAGCTGTGTGAGCTTGGGCAGGTTCCTCAACCTTTCTGGGCAGCAGTTTCTTCATCTGTGTGATGCGGGCGGTGACAGTCCTGCCTCGCCGGGCGGTCATGAGATTAAGACTTCATGCGTGTTAAGTACTTACAGCAATAAGTTAGTGTCACAACAATGAGTAGCACGTAGGCGGCGTCCAGCAGGTGTTAGCTGACGCTGTTTGTGGCTGCTGTTGCCGAGGGTTCAGGATTTTGTGTGGGGCCATGGAATCAAGGGCGTGTATAGATGTTTAAAGTCTCCTGATGCACTTTTGGGGAGGCTCATTTTGCAGGTGGTGGTGGGCCAGCATAGACGCTCTGGGTAGCAAGAATTGGCTAGGCTCTTGTAAATCAGAGGGCAAACCAAGGTGGCCAGAGTGGAGGCTGGTTAACACTGGGAAATACATTTGGATGAGTGTGCAGAGGCCAGAAGAGAGAGTGTTCCCAGTGCCAGGTGGAGAGACATGGCCTTGGTTTGGTCTGGTTCTGGGTAAAGTAATAGGGAGTCATAGTAGGTTCTTGAGGAGGGGAGTGGCATGGAATATAGATGACCACATAAGCATAGCTTCTACGGCTTTCACGTGCCTCCAGTAGCAGGAAACCCATCCTGCTGGCCTTGTGCTGACTTTGACAAGAAACAAAGGTTGCTTCAAAGCACCTTATTGGCAGAGGGGAAACGCTGATGAGGTGCAAACATTTGTTGCTCATGTCTGGGCAGACAGAGCCTCTGCACGGTGCTCATGGGACTGTGCAGGGCAGAACTGGAGGCTGGATCCCACCAAGCTCCTCACGCAGTTAGGAGCCAGCCAGCTTTCCAGTGCTCTGGGAGCTTAATTACTTTGAAGCTGCCCAAGGGCGCCAGCGAAGCGTTTGTTGAATGAATGAATGAACAAACGAATGAATGGCACTTACTGTATAGTTTCCATTCTGTTGCTTTTGGAAGAAATTTCACCTCTTGAAGGGAGGAAAGCACAGAGCCTGTTCAACTTCGAACGGCCGGGTGTTACGGAGAGCAACGGCAACAGCTCCCGTGGGGGGACGCGGTCTGTGGCCCCCAGGCACACAGGCAGGCTTGGAGAAGGCAGGGGAGCCAGCCATGGACAGTCGCCAGTGTCGTCAGACTCCCTGCGCCTCGGTTTCCCTCTCTGTAGAATGAATCCTTGCCTCTTAGAGCCGAGCGCATAAGCGAGCAGTATGAACTTAGTGCCTAGTAAGCGTTTACTGACGTCCGTGTTGTTTGTGGTCTCCCAGCATGCTCGTTGCTCAGGCCACAGTCATCGTTTCGTGACACATGCTGCTCCAGGGGCTGGGGGGGCTGGGCGAGCTCTGGGCGGGGCGGGGAGGCGATGGCTGTGGCCGTTACAAGCTCAGGCTCTGAGGGCAGATGGCCCGCGTTCGAATCCCTGATCTGCATTTAATAGCTGTGTTGTCCTGGGTAAGTCACCTCACTTCTCTGAGCCAACAATTTCTCTTTTGTAAAATGCAGAGGATGATTTTATTCCTCTCGGGAGGTAAGAAGATTAAATGAGATGGTACAGACTAGGTTCTTTGCATAGGGCTTGGCACATTGAAAATATTCATTAAGTGTTAGCTTTTATTATCATTACATTTTGGCTGTGAGAGGACAAAGATGAGTAAGATTTTTATCTCATGGAACCAAAGACAAAACAATTAAAGACATTAAAAAAAAAACCAATAATAAGTAATAATAAAAAACTATATGCCAAGCCTTGTTCTAAGCATGTGATGTGATTCCTCATGACAGCCCTACAAGATAGACTCCTGTTCTCCCAGCACTACTGATGAGAAACTGAGCACAGAGAGGTTAAGTAACTTAGTGAAGATCACACAGCTGGCAACGGGCAGTGATAGCATTTGACCGCAGGAAGCCTGGCTCAGAGTCCACATCTTGAACCATTAGCTGTTCTACTTTTAAAAAGCTTAGAGTCACATCACTTTTAGAACAGCTAGAGTCACTTTAGCTTAGAGTCACATCAATTTGCCCGAAGACCCTCCACTGGCCCCGAGCCACGGACTTGAACCGTGTTGTGGCGACTGAGACAGTTCTGCAGAGGGTGCCTGGAACGGGGAGGATCCGTTTCTGACCCTTTCGTGCCTGACTTAGGAACCCCGGGCGACTGCAGTCTCTGGGCGGGTGGCAAGAGACCAGCAGGGCATCTGAGACGCCGCTGACACCCCGAGAAGCAGTGGTCTCCGCGGGGCATGGGGGGACGGGGCTCGGCTTGCCCTTGCCCGCAGCCGGCCCTGCTCTCTTGACCCCGAGAGCTCGCCTCCCAGCCCGGGCCGCCTTCGCAGGGGGAATCCCTGTTGCTCAACTTCTTTTTTCCAAAACTCACCCCCGTTCCCATCTCCATGGACAGTTTGGCCGGCAAGGGCTCCGCGGGGCGGGGCGGGCAGCTGGAGTTTTCCAAGGAAGGGGAATCCCAGCTGTTTCTTGCATTAAGGAAAGGTGACAGCCTCCTGGGCTAATCTTAGCCCGCGTTTGGTCATCCGCGCCCGCGCTCCAAGGCTCTTTTTATAGCCGCGGGCTAAAATGGAACTGGCAGTTTCCACTCCAGGAGGACAGATGGGAGCACGGTGGAAAAACAGTAGGAGAGGGCCGCGCGGTGCTTCTTAAGTTAGAGAAGCTCGGTGTTTTGGAAAAATGGCGTCTTATTTATAGCAGCGGTAATACTGATAATTATTATACTATTTGTGTTACTATTTTTACTTATTTTGGGGAGTTGCAAGGGCCTGTGTGATCTGGCGCCTGCCCACCTCTCTGATCTCAGCCTGGAGGACTCCTCCCCAGCCCGCGCTTGGCCGCGGCAGCTGCTGGCTTCGTTCTGTCCCCGAGCACCCCAGGCTCACTGCTGTCGCGGCCCTTGCTCCTGCTGTTCCCTCTTGGA